ATAATAATAATTGTATAGCGCAAGTTTCCGCTCAACAGTAAGTTATATGCGCTTTACAATCTACATTATTAGCCCTACAAGATCTGATAGCGATCTGAAACAATCTCAATTTCCTGGGAAGCATACCGTGGAAGCTGCCATTTTACAGGCGCAAAAATACAGACGTACAGTCAAGACCGTTCCTTGTCTATGGCTGTCTACCCACTATCAATAACATTAGTTCGAATCAGTTTCTGAACTGTGTCGTGAAATTCTTTTGGTTTAGTACCCAGAATGGATCACAGGAAGACAATTTGTTTGTTTGAAAGGATAGAATATTATAAGGAAAGAAACACGAAGGGGATGAAGAGAACTAAAATATTTCTTTTTAAACGAAACGTAAAATCCAAACTCAGTTGTTACCTAGTGCACGTGAGCATCAGGATAATGGCTGTGTTTCCAATGAGTGCTAAAACCATGCTGAAAACGATTGTAGCCACCCTCTGGATCACGTGGGGTTGCCAGATAATGTCCTCTTCCAGTTGAGTGCAGTTAGCGCACGTGTCTGTGACATTTGTCGTCATTGTCATCGTCGTCATCGTGGTCAAGGTCGCCGCCGCAGCGACTGCGATCGTCGTGGTTGTTGAGGTAGTGGTCGCTGCCGCTGCAGCGCCGGATAAGATCGCAAGGGGGCTGTTGTTGTTGTAGTTGTTGCTGTTGCCGTTGTGGTTGTCGTTGTTGTTGATGGCGGAGGTGCTGGCGGCAGCTGCGGCCGTAGTCGCCGCTGAGACCAATTGATAAGTCAACTGGACGGGAGACAGTGAGCCATTAGTTGTCTTGCCCTGTGGCGGCACAAACATCATTACGATTTCTTCTTGTTCCCAGAATTCCTTAATCCTACCCAAGAGCACCATCCCCGAAGTTGAGGCCTGGAGGTGCTCGATTGCAGCCTGAGTTGACCTACTTGAGTTTTAGAAGTAGCGACACATCTGGTCGTCTGAGCAGACACAGACATTTATGAAGGATGTGGAGGTAATCATCATATTATGCTAAATCTGTCGTTCCGTTTGCGACTGATAATTTGATTGCCACCGAGATCACTTGAGTCAACAAAAATGTTTTGGGAAACCGTTATTATGTACTTTGAGATATCAGACTTAATATTTCGAGGGCAGGGGATGGTTTGGTGGCGCGAAATGAGTCTAATTTTTAGTTTGTTACGTGCACATAGATTGTTGGCATAACACGACTTATAACAGTTGAATAGACTTGAAAAAGGACATCTACTTCTAATCTTTATTTCGCATTTTATTCTTCGTCTTTCAGTTATACATGATCTTTAAAAAAAACGAGCTTGTAGATTCTTTTATCACATTAAAGTATTGGGGGAAAAGCTGACAGGAAAAACGCTCTCCTTTTCCCCCCCTCGAAGTCAATTTTCGCTTGGCGAAAGAAATGGGAAAAAAAATCGGAACAACTAAGGAAACTCAGGGCAGCCCAAAATAACCCAAGTCCTCGTGAAACTATGTCACAGGGTAAACAAGAGCGTGGGTGTTTATCGTTCACCGGCTTGTTCTTAACGCTGGCTGAAAGTACTAGGATACTTTTTTCGTTTATAAAGAACGTGTCTCCTTCGTCCTTTGTCTTTCGTCTTTCGCTAGAAATTCAGTTTTAGAATATTCTCCACGAAGAAAAGAACCTACTTAGAGGTTATGGCAATGAAGTTGGACCGATATCCTATTGTCTCCTTTCTTTTAGAAGGCTCACAGGATTTCGCCATGACTTCCTCGGTTCATTCCATGTTTTTAATCTCAGCCCTCAGAAATTCATCTTACACCGTGCAAGTGTGTTAGGCACTGGTAACTGTCACCAACGCGTCACTGTCCCTTCAGAGCTCGAAGTACCACATTTGTAGGAGGGGGAAAGTGAGAAAAAGAAGAGTAAAATAGTTTTCTTTCGGAAAAAACTACAGTGCCAATCCGACGCTGTAACTGCTAGACTTGGAACGAATGAGTGACTGGAAACCCGATTCTCAACACTAGTCTCCCTCTGTGTTCAGTGACATTTGGTCAATGATTCTTGATTAGAGGGAAAGAAAAACACCCAAACCGCCTGAAGCACAGCCAGATTCAGCAGAAATGAGCCAGATTTTTCTTCTACGGAAATGTTTTCGAGATCCAGGCTCTCATGTTCTTTGTTCGTATGAAGAAAAAACTCTGTTGATGCTGTTCCTCCCAGGCGATGGTGGCTTAGAGGTTACTGGAAATTGGGTGACCCCGAAGCTGCTCTCTATACAATATGAAGATCTGTGAATAATACAAAGAAGGAGTTAATTATACCTTTAAAAAAAAAACCCACTTTGAAGAGTACAAGTTCAATTTCCCGAATTTTGTTGTTGGTGTTGTTGTTGGATTTTTTTTACAATATATATATATATATATATATATATATATATATATATATATATATATATATATATATATATATAATATATATATATGTATATATATATATTATATATATATGTGTGTGTGTGTGTGGGTGTGGGTGTATGTGTATATGTGTGTGTGTGTGTGTGTATGATTGTATATTATTATAATATATACATTAAGCTGATAAGAACAGATACTACACTTTTATCTTAGCCAAAAGACCGAGAAGCGATATATATTATATATAAATATATAACATAATACAAAATATAGATTATATTTAATCAATATATATACATTTTATTTATTTATTTTTTTTTAATTTTTTTTTTTTTTGGGGGGGGGGGGTGGATGCAGAACGGAAACGTGACCATCCACTGTCATGCTATTTGTGCACACATTGTGTAGCGAATGCTGGGCTACAGACAAATATAGAGTGAATGAGACTGGACCTTGCAGAATGGGTGGGATGGGGAGAGTAAGACTAAACACAAAAAGGGGAAACATTGAGAGGTGACTAGAGAGTAGAGGGTACAGTAAATTAAATGATATTTAAATCTAGAAGTAAGGAGACAGGGGGAAAGGGAGAGAAAGAGAGATATGGAGGGACAGAGAGAAAAGCCAGAAAAGAAAGAAAGAAAGACAGATAGATAGATAGATAGATAGATAGATAGATAGATAGATAGATAGATAGATAGAAAGATAGATAGATAGATAGATAGATAGGCAGACAGATAGACAGATATATAGATAAAAGGCAATATAAATCAAATGAGTTTCATCCTTATCTGGAATCGGCCAGAAAAAAGTCAATAAACATTCTATCTCCCCGAAATTACTCGCACTAAGCGGCCTCGAAAAATAAAATGGCAAAAAAAAAGAAATAAAACAAAAAAGGCAGTCGGTGTTCATCAAGCGCAGCTCCATAAAAAAGTCCGCACAGGCTTTACTCCAAATCTTTGCACTTTCATTAATATACACCGACAACCCCCTCACCCCCCCCCCCAAAAAAAAAAAAAACCAACATAAAAAAACACACAAAAACTGTTTTACACGATTCACAAAACGATTGTGCGTTCACTTCAGCAATTCTTTTTCTTCAGCGCTAAAAAGTGCACTCTTCACTTTGCTCTTCTGTCATCTTTTGCGACGAGGGTATAGAGCTCCAAGAATTGTAACTATGTTTTTTGTGAGTTCACGTAAAATGGGGTCTGTGCATGTTTTACTTTCTTGTCAATGTCTTAACCCTTTCAGCCCCAGCCACTTTTTGTGCACCCCGTAGCCTCAGTCCGAGCCAATAGAGCAGTATTTCAGAAAAAGGGGCATGCATTCTAAAAAGGGATGCAGTATCTTTGTAATGAGGTTTAGCTAATAACAAATAACAACGTTTAAAAGGTCGCTTTTAAGCACAAGGGGCTATCCCGAAAAATGCTGTTTTGAGAAAATCGAAGGTAAAGGTTTTTACCCTTGTTCAGTTTCTTTAAAAGACAGGGAGAGTTTTCTCTATAACAAAACACATATTAATATACACACCAATGAAACCAAACTTCTCCTACAGGTAGGGCAATGCTCACTTTTGGTTTAATTCAAGATTTCTAGAAACACCCAAAATCTGAGTTAGCTGGCTTGTCCTTAAAACCGACCAAATGTAAACGACTTAAAACCGACCAAATGTAAACGAACAAGTATAATGAAAATCAAAGTTTAATTAGGTTCACTAATTTCGAAAAATGCGCAAATTTGGTAGCTCAGGAAACTGAGAATAATTTGGGACGGTGGGAGATACAAGCGCTGCTGAAAATTACGCGCATGGGGCAGGAAGGGTTGAAGTTAGAAAAACAATGGCATGAATGCCCCTCTTGTTGATTTGACTGGAACCACATACCACCACCCCTTTTTAACACCCCATTAACCCACCAAAAAAAAAAAAACGAACAAAAACACCCTATAAAACCAACAATAATTCAACCCAACAACGCCCCAAGGCTTTTTATAAACAACGGCTAACGGTTGTCCATTTAAAAAATAATAAAACGGCTTGATTAGATTGCGTTCGATTCCCTATGAATTGAAATTTGAGATTTAAAAATGAAATGAGCCCAATTTGTCTCTTCTTGTAAAATTTATATCGAAAGACACCTCTTCCTGGGAGGAAGCCCATTTTTTCCACTTTGCAAGAGGCAACCGAAAAACAGTGTACTAACAGATACAGCACATGTCCCTTCTCTAACAGTCAGTTTGTAAACATAACTAACATTGTTCAACGGTCTTAAGCATTCCGTGTGCATGCTTGTGTGGCCGTCTTGAATGTCGCTCATGACAAAAGGCGTAATTTCGTTTTTCCCTGCTTCAAGGTTTGGCTCATGGGAAATTGAATACTGTCATTAATTTAGTTAAAATTTCACTCTAACAAAACAAAACAAAAAAGAAAAAAAAAAAGAAAGAGAAAACGTTGCCAATCTACAGTCGGAAGCAAACCATTTTCCCGACCGATTAATTGGGCCTAATCAGTACAAGTTCAGATAAAAATTTAGAATAAAAAGTAATTGGTAAATTCTACCAAACTATTTTTTTTTAAAGTTGGTCAATTCTAAGTTGGAGGGAACATTCCAATAATATTTGAAAAGGAGGGGGAAGGGGGGGGGGTTGTTATATGTAGGCCTGTTTGCCTGTTTGCCTGTCGAGTTTCATTGGGATTCAATCCTCATTGCTCGTGTGTTCAGAATTTTCATTAACATAACTCTGTCACTGCATACTGAACACATAATTTGGTGCCACCTGGAGTGGAAAGGGATAGGCCTACCCATTAAACATTCTCTGAGATTATCTCTATACACAAAGAGATGGGTGGTTAAAGTGTGCCTCTGGTAGGCCCTATTTCTTCTCTTTCCCTCTATTGTCGGTATCTTGTATTTCATGTGGTTAGCATTCTTATATTCTTATGAAGATATTATACATTGTATCTGTCGATGCACTCGTTCGTTTTCCTTTCACAAAAAGGCGGTTATCGTGTTGATATGTTTCTCTTTACAAAAACCAAGCAATACTAGATCCGGCAACTGGTGAGAATAACGACTATATGGGAGGCAGCGTGCTGAAATCAGGCGCAAGACAATTTTTGGGCATGTGGACTTATTGATATAATCTTGTTCATTTTTCTGGCTTTCAAATTAAAAAAAGAATACCCATCTATCTTGAATAGAAGTTTAGATACTGGTAATTGAAGGAGGAGTGGTTGCCCAGTTTCAGAGACACAATTATCGAGAAAATGGCCTCTAAAGTTTGTTGAATCTCATAGCTGGAAAGTCCTTGAAAACTAAAAATCTACATTTTAGGTACCTTAACTAAACGTTTTCCAGTAAAATCAATACATAAATGTGTTTTTTAATGGACATAAAAGGTGTTGAGCCAAAAAAAACCCCAAAATTAGATAAAAATTGCCAAACCGGTGGGAAAATGCCATTTTCTTCCGTTTCATTTTTTTTACGAGCACCTGATTTCACCATGCTGCCTCCCATATTTTGTGCTGAATATTCGTAATGGGAAACATTGACGACCGCTTTACAACTTCGTCTGGTGTTTTTATTCCAAAAAATCTTAATGGATCAAATAGGAGACTATGCTTCCGTGTACTTGTATCTGAAAAGATACTAGCAACTCCTGTAAAAAGTCGCTCTGGAGATCTAAAGGTACAGCTAATGCCATCGGAAACAGCCGCTCTTAAGGCGTCAAGTTGCATTAGACCCAGTTCTACATGAAGACCTGATAAAATTTTAATGTTTCCCTCAGCAAAAACCCTCTACAGTAAAAACAGCACGCGCCGAATTACCAAAACCAGGCTTCAGGGAGGGTTTCTTTGTTGCTTTATTGTTGAGTCATATTCTGTTCTAGATACCAATTGATGATGGCAAAGTTGAGCTTTCGGAAGCCCGACACGGGGATTTGTTAAACAGATCAGTTCTGGGGTTATGATATCTTCTGAAATTGTTGCGGATTCTCTAAATCGTTTAATTTTGAGGATATTTTTTTTTAAGTTTCTTTTTGTTTGTTTATTTAATTTTTTTAATGGAGAGGGGAGGCGGTTCCAGAGAAAGCAATCCCACGATAGACGAAATTGAGAAGAACGACGTCAAATTATCAAAAACTATTCATCATGTAAGAAATAATGAATACGCACACAATAGATCTAGTTGTAAGAGCTACATTCTTTTTCTCCTTTCCTTTCTCTCTTCGAACCCGTTTCCTTTTCAGTGGTATCATGATAGTCTTCGGAAATAGTTTCCCTTCCATTGTTGGTTGGTAGGTAGATGGGTTGATGCCTGGGATTTTTGCATTATATTGTGCAACAAGGCGAAATTTGGTCAAGCAGCTAAAAAGCCTATTAACAGAAAGTGAAATTTAGGTAATACCTAAGTAAAACTGCCAAATAAAAATCGGAGTTGAGATGAATCCTCACAACATAATCAGAGAAATCGCTGGGAATCCATCATTGTATCCATCTTCACAGAAAACATGGTTGAGCATGTCCTCTCTATACCAGTAAACCATCTACTGCAGAGCACAATGCACAATCGTTGACAGGACTGAGGAACAACGAGAAAGAAGGAGCCAAAGGAACACTGGTATCCTACAACACCGCATTAAGTCAGACCTTCCGACGAATAGCAGACAAATTCTTCTTTCTACCAGTGACATTCCCCACGGCAAAAGAGATGGACAAAACAAAAAGACAGAAGAAGAAGGTCCTTCCAAATTCCAAGACGTTCCTTGTCACTGCAACCTGGTATACAAAATTGGACGGAAAGTATGCCATTAACTTTCAGATGACCCCGAGGATATGAATTTGCAGCGATTGATCCTGTCGTGAAGATTTG